TATATAATATGTAATATATATACTATTACATATGAGCCTAGAACTTGCAAACATGATGTGGTTTTATTGTCATAACTAGGTAACAGACATATATATATATGGTAATTGTCATCTGTTCCTTATAAAATCCTGCCCTGAATCAGATGTAGTGGTAATGCTCCCAGCATATGGGAGACAGAGGCAGGTGAATCTCTGAGTTTGAGACTGTCCTGGTCTACAAAGTGAACTAACTCCAGGACAGCCAGGGCTACATAGTGGGACCCTGTCTTAAAAAACAAAACAACAAAAACCCTCCCAGGCTAGCCTTTAAGAAGACCAAGAAGGAAAGGAGATGCTCTTCCACTCACTGTCACCCTGAAATAAACAGCCATTCTGTGGGGAGGGTCCATGATAAATGCTGAGAGCACCCTATAGAACCTGAGATTGGTCCTGAGTCAATACATTAAAGAATGTCGTAACTTCTTTAGCAAATAATCCTTCAAATGAGTCAAGAGGACATGAAATAAATACGCCCTTATAGACTCCCTGACAATCGAGGTAAGAGTTTCGGTACAACAGTGGCACCAACACAAAACCACACACCAGCTGCATCAGTACAAAGAGAAGGGGAACAGCTGGAACAAGCACCTTCCAGTTTCCTTTGAGGAACAGCAATAGCTGGCACCAGTTGGCTCACTGTGATTCCTAGGACCTAGAACAGAGGCTGGCACATTATAGACACTTAGCAACTGTGTGCTGTTATGACTACATAAGAGAAAGAAACTCACCAAATGATTCAAAGATGCAAGTTCCTGACCTATCGAGAAAAACATATGTAAATAAGCTTTAGGAATTTTCCAGTAAATTTTTAAAAATAAAAAGAACCTAAGAAAAATGTTTGTAGTTCACATATTAAAAAGGTGATCAGGTTAAACATTTTAAAACAACAAACGAAATGCATACCTAAAAGCCAAAAAACCAAACACGACAGCTCTATTTAATCTACTGTATTTATCAAGTGAGAAACAGGCCCAGAAAAGGAAAATGCTTGTATCACAGCCAACCAAAGGTAAAGCCAGACCGAGAAGGACGAGGAAGGTAAGAAATTAAGAATAGTTATGGATGGCAACTGACAAGTTTCTCAAGCTTTTAAGTTGGAAAAAGGACTCACTGACGAAAAAGCTGATATAGTCTTTCTTCAGTTTGTCCAAACCAATTTCCAAAAGCATCTGCAGGGGAGTAGTTCCAGAGAGAGGGACACTGTCCATGGCTCCATGGTAGGACTGATGAATGAGCTTACTCAGTAAACTGTTACTCCCACTGTGCAACTAGAAACAGAAAAAAGTTTACAAATTCTTCAATTTAACTATAAATAAATGTAGTGGGCAGAATAAGACTATGAGTTCAAAATTAGAATCATTCCTTTTCAGTCTCCTGACACTATACATTCTTTCAATAAAAGCTCCCAAGTTCCCTGAGTTCCCACGATGCCACTTCTGGCTAGAAATGTGGCTTTAGAGTGCTTGCCTCATGTGCCAAAGCTCTGGGTCCATCCCAGCTCTGGATGGACAGGGAGTTGGTACATGTCTGTAGTTCCAGCACTCAGGATGCAGAGGCAGGTGTATCAGAAGTTTAGCCAGTCATCCTCAGCTACATAGTCAATTGGATACCCCATTTTTCAAAAGACCACGAAGAAAAAAAAAAGTAATTCCTACTTCACTTGTGTTTTGAAAATCTAAAGCAGCCAAGGAAGGCCTAAAGTGGTAGACTTAATTTTACCAGAGAGAATCAGAGCTGGTCCTGTGAGGCCTTACAGCTAAGACTTCTGGGTGACTGCAGCACCAGAGCATCTCCAGTAAACTTCTGTCTTCACTCACAATGAAGCAGACTGAAGGAACAAAAACTCTGCTCCTCAGGGTCTATGTATTTGACGAACTTACTTTTCAGCTGTGACACCCAACCTAACTTGGATTATTTATAAATTACAAAGGGCTATCAACTCACACTTAACTTTGGCACTAATTATTAGACTGACTTTAAAATCTGTAAGACGGCACCTTGCTGCTACTTTCTTTAGTCTTCAGCTTTCCTTAGCCTTCTGCATTTGCTCTCTTTTTAGAGCTAGATTCCCATGGTTCGCACTTACTGTACACAGCAGGTTCATGCTCACCAACACCCCAACACCCGACAAACACAGAATCTCATTTTAATAGCTAAGCTGCAAACACTCACAGCTACTACTGCCCACATAGCGAGCTCTTGTGCTTGTTCTGTGTCTTCTTCACAACACTGATTATTGTTTCTGGTGCTGGGATCAAACTCAGGGTCTCACACAGCTACAAAAATTCTAACTTTTATCATGAACTGGTAGCTAAGTTATTCAAAATGGTTCCTAATAAGCTCTTTTTAACCTTTTATTTTGCTGTTTTTGTTCAGTGTAAAAGTAATGTAACCACACTTTGGAAATTTCATCAAGCGCAAAGTGCACAGTTATTTGTAAGGCTTTTCTCAGTGGTTGTTACTAAGAATTCAGGTTAACCTCTAACTTGTGATCATCCTGCTTCTTACCAAATGCTAGGATTATAGGCATGTCCTACCATGCCTGGCCTTGACATATGCTTTTGTGCACGAGTGCTGGGGAGATCCCTACACAAGAACTATTGGTTCAGAAGTCACATTACATTTTGAGAATCTCAAAATCATCATCAAAACTGCTTTGTAAAAGAGCACCCTAAGTTTTAAGTCTTAGCAGTGGCCTATGAAAACATTCATTTCCAGAACAGTTTACAGTATCAACAGCTCACAGATACCAAGCCAGACACTAGGTGCTGTATATGCATTGGATCAATTTCACCTCTACACAACACTAAGACGCAGGAAGAGTCCAGCCTCACACTGTAGATCAGGGCAGTGAGGTACAGAGAAGTAAAGGGCCCCAAGTTCACACAGCTAGAAGGTAGCAGAGCTGGAGGTCAACACAGACTGTTTGATCCAATGTTTTATCAAATGCTCTCTGTTTGTTTGTTTGGTTTGGTTTCTGCATGTCATTGAGAAAAACATTCTACTCACACCATTCAACCTACCCATGGCTGTATATCACCACGCTGCAGGCTCTGCAGGACCAATGTCAAACACTTCACCAAGTCTTGATATGAAACCACACCTTGAAGACCAAGTCACACAGAAATCATTTCCACATCTCTGATTAAAATGTCACTTTTAATAACACGCACAAGAAACAAACAAAAACCCTGCTGAGGGGCTAGGAGTGAGCGGGGGATTTAAAATGGGAGAAAAAAAAAAAGACAGAAAGCTATAGCTCAGATTGCCAAATAACATTTGGTCTGTCGGTCTGTCTGTCTGTCTATCTATCTAAAATTGTTATAGGAGTTATTTATAAAAAATACACATACATATACACACACACACAATTTTATTTAGGTATGTTTTGATTCCTGTAAGTATAGTTACAGTTCATGCAACATACTTAAGTTTTATATTTTATTTATTTATTTATTTATTTATTTATTTTGGTTTTTTCGAGACAGGGTTTCTCTGTGTAGCCCTGGCTGTCCTGGAACTCACTCTGTAGACAAGGCTGCCCTCGAACTCAGAAATCCGCCTGCCTCTGCCTCCCAAGTGCTGGGATTAAAGGCGTGCCCCACCACCACCCGGCTAAGTTTTATATTTTAAAAGGCATGAAAAGGGGCTGGAAGGATGGCTCAGCAGTTAGGAGCACTGGCTACTCTTCCAGAGGACCAAGGTTCAAACCCCAACACCCACATACTACTCCAAATCATCTATAACTCTAGTTCCATAGGCTCTAAACTGCCTTCTGGCCTATGCAAGCAGGCTGACCTCACATGGTGTATAGACATACACACAGGCAAAACACCAATACAACGTAAAGTTAAACAAACAAACAAACAAAAACCTTAAACACACACACAAAGTCCACTTTAATTACGATGGACACGCACTGCTGCTCATTTTGCACCAAAGCTGTTCCGCAAAGTCAAGATCCCCCCGCACTGTGACCAGCATAGACCTGACAACTGCAGCTGCGTCATGGTTCACTTCCTGAAAAAAGATGCAAATGTTAGAGAACACGCCATTCATTTACTTTAGAAGTGAAGTACTTCAAGCTTTAAACACTATTCTGAGAGTTTTGAAGACAGGAACATATATAAAGAATTATGAAAATGGTATTTTCCTCAGAATTTCATTTACTAATAAGGAGATATACTCGGATAGAGTAAAAAACTAGAGTCTTGAAGTTGTTTTAATCTGTAATGACTAACCAGACATGGTGGCAGTTACATATCCATAAAGCCCAGCACTCAGGAGGCTGAGGCAGGAGTAAATTGCATTTGAAGCTAGCCTGAGCACGACTCTGTCTCAAAACAAAAACCAAGCCCCAAACAGTAACAGCAAAACTATACCACTTAAAAGTAAGCTCTCGATTTCCTTCCTACATGAGAATATTTATTAAGTGGCCTTTGACCCCATTTCCTTGTCATCAGGTAGAAACCATGTTAGTTTCATGACGGCACTTATGGCACGGTAACACCATAGCATGTTGTTTCTGTACACTGGCAATACTCTCTGCAGTGTCTTAGTAACATAACTGTATTAACTCTCTGCAGCCGAACAACACAGACAAACACAGGATGGAAGGAGGCATGAGATGCCACAACTTGACAGGGAGCAGTGCACAGAGTTCACATGCAGGGCAAGAGTCTAACTTACAGTAACTGCTCCTCCCTCCCTCCCTCCCTCCCTCCCTCCCTCCCTCCCTCCCTCCCTTCTTTTGGTTTTTCAAGACAGGGTTTCTTTATGTAACTTTGGCTGTCCCGACACTCGCTCTGTAGATCTAGCTAGCTGTGAACTCACAGACATCCGCCGGCCTCTGCCTCCCAAGTGCTGAGATTAAAGCACTCGCCATCACACCTGGCTTGCTTACCTCTTTTTGTTTGTCTTTTTTTGTAGAATCATCAAATTCCTCCAGTTTATTTAAGTCTAAAAAGCAGAAAAGGCTTATTAAGTTGATTTTAATTTCCTGCTTCCTGTATTATTTCCATCCCAATCCTGTTGTCAAGTAGCAAATGAGAACAGGAGGAGTGTACTGGGACTTCAGCAAATGACCACTATGACAGCTGTCCGTCAAGCAGGAGCACGAGACCGGACAGGCATGTGGAAGATGCTCAGACACTGTCTCATCGCTCTTCCACACTCTCAAACACATTTATTTATTTATTTGTGCTACATAAACTTCTGTCAACGTTCTCTTTTTTAGAGTCCTGAAGCCTGATCAAACCTAGGGATAAGTATGGCTGGCAAATGCTCTCCCACTGAGCTCCATCCCCAGCCTTTTTTTTACTTTTGTTTGTTCGTTTGTATGTATATATGAATGTATGTATTTGGTTTTGGACACAGTATTTCCTTGGCTGGCCTGGACTGGCTTTGTAGACCAGGCTGGCCTCAAACTCAAGAAATCCACCTGCCTCTGCTTTCCCAAGTGCTGGAATTAAAGGTGTGTACCACCATGCCCAGCACTTATGTATTTTACTTTGTGACAAGGTTTCTTTAAGTTGCCTAGCTTGACTGACACTGAAATCACTCCACAGCTCCAGTTAACAGTCCTCCTGCCTTGGCCTCTCAAATAGCTTTACAATAGATTACAGGTCTGTGCTGCCAGGCTTGCCTCAGACTCAGTCTTATAACTTTTAAAATAACACCTATCTTTGACATTTTAGAACCAAAGCTCTCTCCAAGCATATCAGATCGCAGCTTTAATGTATTCTAACTCAAAGCTATATAAAACCACGAGACAATCGATATTTACAAGTAGCAGGCATATATACTCAATTAAAAACATGCAACAGACAAGAACAAATTATGAAAACAAACACCGTTCAGAAATTCCTGCACAAATTCAACAGCAGATTTTGTTTCCAGAGGTTCGAGCCATTCGGTTACACCAGTCCTGATGCCATCCGCCAAAACCTGTAAAACAATTGAACACTCAGACAATATGTTAGCTGAAACCATAGCCTAATTAATAGGGATATATTTAATAGTATCAATTAAGGTAGCAGTTCTTTAGAACAATTTTTGGGGGGATTTATTTTATTGTATACATTGAGTGTTTTGTGCATCACATATAGTGCCTAGTGCTTTCAGAACTCAAAAGAGGCCACTGGCCCTCCTGGCAATGGAGTCACAGATGGTTATTAGGTACCATGTGGGTACTAGGAATCAAACCCAGACACCCTGGAAGAGCAACAAGTGCTCTCAACACCTGAGCTCTCTTTCCAGCCCTATTGTAAGGGTTCTTGAATGCTGACCACTCACTAGGCATTGTCATAGGATTCTGTATGTAGTGTGTTATTTAATCCCAACAAAACTCTCTGAGGCAGATACTACTATTGTCTTCATTTTATTAAGGCCAAGAAAGCTTCAGTAGCTAGCTGAAGTTACTAACAAACAGTAGCAGGATACACATCCACCAGGCTGGTTCTATAAATAGTATTCTCCACTATAATGCTATGCACACAGGAACAACATGTGGTTCTGGGAAGAGGATACAATACAGGTGAAGTAACAAGGAAACCACAAATGTGAAACTGAAAGCAAGTTTATCCAAACACAATATAATTAAACACACAGGCACACACAAAAAATTTAAGCCCAGTGAAGGAAAGGCAGTCAAGACAGGCTACACTAGCTACAGGTCTGCTTCAACTCAGCAGGACTAATGTCTACCAACAGGGAGGAGGAGGAGAAGATCACGAGGAATGACTCCGACCAGAGTGAACAAACAGCAGAGAACAGAAGGGACAGAGCAAAAGACTGAGAAACTTCACAAGTGTTTTTGTTTCACATGAGAAATGATACCCACTACTGCCACTGTAATAAACCGACAGAATCGAGTAGTTAGCAATTGTTTCTCAACAGAAAAGACATCATTTCATCCTTACAGAGGGGTCTATGAAAAAGGTGAAGATAATCTTTATGTATCAGAAAGACTGAGATATTTAACTTGGCAGAGGTCAGGGCTGTTAAACATACTGCCATGTGTAGGATGGTCCAAATTACAAGGAATGGGGCAGTGTGAAATGCCCACAGTGTCTCTATTGGAAAACAATGCACTGTCTTGACAGGATGTCAAACAAAGGTAAAAGGGTTGTAATTGACTCGTACAGTAAGGGCCAGTGAAATGGCTCAGAGATAAGTGTGCTTGCTGCCAAGTCGGATAACCTAAGTTCTATCTCCACGATCCACATAAAGGAGAGAACTGACTGTCACAAGCTGGCTTCTGACGTTCTGCGCTACTATGCTATATAAAAATAAATAAAACTAAAAATAAATACACAAAATAAGTAGAATATAATTTTAAAAGGCAAAGAGGGGGCAGACAAAAGGACAAAAAGAAGAGTAGAAGGGAAAAACAGCAGGTATGTGTAAGAAAATTGCATGCAGTTATAAAATACAAGGATTGAATTTGTGTGTGTGTAGGAAAAAGTATGGTTTAAACATAGGTGCCATAGGACCTAATAATTTCACCAGAGATGCAGAAAACATATGGTCCCCAAAAATCTGCATAAACGTTCACAGCAATGCAATTTCTAGTAGCCACAAAGTACAAAAAAAAGAAAAAAAAAAAAGAAGAAGAAACATTCATCAGTTGATGAAGAGATGAACAAGATGCAGTATATCCATAAGTTAGATGCTATTTAACAATCAAAGGTTGTGAAACACTATAAGCAACACTGTAACACTATTAGTGGTTGCTAGAGACTGGCAAGGTTGTGGAGTGAGTGCTAAACAGTACTAGGAGTATTGAAAATGTTATAAAACTAATTGTGGTGAGGCTTTGTACAATGCAGCCAGTAAAGTAAAAGGTAGAGCAGCTATTATCTAAGTGACACTGCCTTTCATTCTGAAGACCACTGCCATATAAATAACTGTGCACAATGTCAAGAGCATAGTGAAATGTAACATTTAGAACAAATTTTAAAGAAAATCAAAGTTATATTGTGAAGCAATTTTCATGACAATATGTAATTCAAAAGAAGAAATTCTAGAAAGATACTCACAAGGAGAAACTTCAGTTCTCTGTGAAGATGATTCAAACAACCTCTGGGCTCTCCTGATTGTACTCTGATATTCTAAAGAGTATCAAAGATCATCAGTTTTCATCGGCAACCCGTGTTTTCCATCCAAGAGTCACTGGTACTTGCACTTCAATTGCATGTCTTATAAAGCAGCAGTAAATTAAGTCCACACCACAGTCAGAGCATCTTATCCCAGGATCTTACAGATCCGGCACTCCTGATGCACAACAGGAACCAGGCTACTGCCCTCTTCTGTATCATAAAGACAGAACTGCCCTCCCCACATGGTTTCCTGACTTTCCTCAGAGAATTTCCAAGAGGACAGATGGAAAAAATTTAAATAAACAGCTCAAAACTCAGTTATACGCTGAAAACAAAGTCCCCAGTAAGTCAGAGTATTAGTCTACTGATTAAACCAACACACAGGTAGTCTACCCAGAAGCTATGGCTTTACAACCTTAAGGACTTAAAAGCAAGTAAATTCCTACTACAGAAGAAAGACATAAATACCCATAATTCTACCCTCCAGAAGAACCATTGTTAATATGATGAAGGCTTCTGGGTATACACTTTAAAAAAAAAAAAGAACTATTTATTTATTTTATGTGTATAAGTACACTGTCTTCAGACACACCACAGGAGGGCATTGGATCCCATTACAGATGGTTGTGAGCCACCATGCGGTTGCTTGGACTTGAACTCAGGACCTCTGAAAGAGAAGTCAGTTCTCTTAACTGCTGAGCCATCTCACTAGCCCACTTTTTTTTTTTTTTTTTTTTTTTTTTTTTACAAAACATACTTGACATCCGCAGTTGTACATGTTGTTCTGTATACTTCTCTTTTTAACTTTTGCTTTAAAGTTTTTCCTATTCTTTTAAAATACTTTCCCCCACATCATGTAGTCTAGGGTCTGGATATAGGCCAAGTACTTTACCACTGAGCTATAACACCAGCCCGAAACTTTAAGTGGTTTTCCCAGACAAGGTTTCTCTGTGTAACCTTGGTTGATCTGAACTCACAGAGATCCTCCTGCCTCTGCCTCCCCAGTGCTGGGGTTAAAGGCGTGTGCAAACACAGCACAGTTTAAAACATGACTTCTAAAGCCCGTACAAGAGCTGACTCTGATGATTCAGGTCTATCATCCCAGCTACTCTAGATGCTAAGGGAGGACGTCACAAACTACAGACCAGTTCAGACTGAGGATCAGCACTGCTGGTCTCTGCAGGTACCAAGACAGAGATTCAATTTTTTTGAAAAAGGGCTTGGCATGAACACAGGGGTGTTGTCCTGGAGAAACGGTACAGCAGTTAGGAGCATATATTGCTTATACTGAAATCCTAAGTTCAATTTCCAGCACCAATATTAAGAAGTTCATAATCATCTTTAATTCCCAAACCAGGGGAACCCAACACCTCTGGCCTCTGTAGGTACCTGGACTCACATGCACATACTCATAATTAAAAAAAAAAAAAAAAAATCACTGAGGCTGGAAAGATGGCTCAGCAGTTAAGAGCACTGACTACTCTCCCAGAGGTCCTGAGTTCAATTTCCAGCAACCACATGGTGGCTCACAGCCATCTGTAACAGGATCTGATGCCCTCGTCTGGTGTATCTAAAGACAGCTATAGTGTATTCATATAAAAACAAACAAACCTTTAAAAAAAAATCACTGAAATAAATCTTACAAAGATGGTTAGCTGAGGACATAGGTAAGTGGGAGAATATGTGCCCATTATACTAAACACAATCTCCAATACCAACAATAACCTTTTCTTTAAACTTTTGTTTACTTTTAAAATGTCCATTGGTGCTTTGCCTGCATGTTTGTGTGTGAGTGTGCCAGATCCCCTGGAACTGTAGTTACCGACAGTTGTGAACTGTCATGTGGGTGCTGAAAATTGAACCCAGGGCCTCTGGAAGAGCAGCCAGTGCTCTTAATTGCTGAGCCATCTCTCCAGCCCCACCAAATATAATCTTAATTTTAAACTATCTCATCATATTCCTCAACACTTGAATCATTTCTTATTTTTTGACTGAATGTTCAACAGGTTCTGTTCTTAAATATTTTAAGCTTAGCTTTTTGTTAGTAATTTTAACTTCCTTCTTTCTTCCTTTCTTTTGGCAGGGTCTCAGTATGTAGCTCTGGCTGTTTTGGAACTCACTACATAGACTAGGCTGGCCTCAAATTCTCCAGAGATCCTCTTGGCTCTGCCTCCTGAGTGATGGGATTAGAGGCATGTGCCATAGTGCCTGGAACAGAAAGAATCTGACTTCTCTCGAGTCACCACACAAAGAGACTGTAATCATCTCTTAAGAGTAAAGTTCCATAGCACCAGGACTGTAACTGACAGCTCAGCTTGCTTGGCAAACCCCTGTTAGTTGTATTCTGAGACCTCAGTGGAAGTCGACCAAGATTTTCTGAGCGGCACAACCTAATATCGAGTGAATATCAAGGCTGGAAGTATACAGCTCTAGCAGGAAACAAGTAAATTGCCACTCAGAAGCCTGAGCAACCTAAAGAGAAGACAGGGTCCATCCCTACCAGAGCTGCAGTTGAAGACAGGGGAGGGGTCTGAAGGATCTCATCCACAGGGCTCCAGGAAAGATCCAGAGTGACTGTAGTTTGTGACGGGGTGACAGTGTCATCTAACTCAGTCGACTTAAAGAGCTCATATTGGGCAAAGCCTCTGGCTGTTAACTGAAGACAGGGCACAGGAGATCAATAGCATCAACTTCATATGAACAAACCATTACCAAAATCACCTTGATTTCTGTTCCAAAAGAAAAACAAGCCCCATACACTACACTGTCATCCAAATGAAAAAAAAAAAGGCAATTCTTTTAAGCCACAAACATTAGCCAAATAGAAGGAGTACAGTACGTGGGTCCCACATCTGAGGACATGAGCACGGTCCTAGAGCCAACCCACAGAGAGCAAGGGTAACTAACTGTGCCCTGGCTCATGTAAAAACAAAGACAAATACTCTGACACTACAGAGAAACATCTAGTCACAGTGAGAGGAAGGAGGACAGCAGGTCAACTGAGCACCGTGTAAGTAAGCTAGTAAGACAAATACTCACAGCAGACAAGTGATGTCTTTTCTTGTGTGAATTTTTTAGATGTTCCAGATCTTCAGAGTAATTTTTATCAGCTACAGGACATGAGATAAAAAAGAAAGGAAGAAAGAATGAAAGAAAGAAAGAAAGAAAGATAGATTTATTTAATTCCAAATTATACCATTAAAATAGAAAGTTATGCCAGGCGCTGGTGGCGCATGACTTTAGTCCCAGCAGAGGCAGGCAGACCTCTGTGAGTTCAAGCTAACCTAGTCTACAGAGACAGTTCCAGGACAGCCTGAGCTGCAGAGCGAGACCCTGTGTCAAAAACAAACAAAACAAACAAACAAAAAGGTGTTAAATAGAGAAAGAAAAAGTGGGGTTCAGTGATTAGGGAAAGGGGAGAGATCTGAACATTGGGGAAGGGGAAACTGATCAGAATATATTGTATGAAAAGTTTTTATTTTTAATTAAAATAAAACAAAAAATTCATATCTAAAATCTTAGCAACTCCGGAGACTGAGACAAGGTTGGGCTCTAATGACACTCTACAATAAAGGAACAGAACAAATGTGCACATCCACAAATATTTATGGAAAATTAAATAGCTAGGCATACTGGCATGGACCTGTAGTCCCGACTGCTTGAGCCCACATATTTAAGACTAGGCCAAGCCACAAAGAACTAATACTAAAAAAAGAAAGTCTGTGTGGTGGTATTCATGTATAATCATGAATAATTGGGCTTTATACTATGGCTGAAACAGATTAAGTTCAAGAGTTCAAGGACAACCTTGCCTCAACCCACTCTTTCCAAAAAGGTAATCTTTTAAATTAAAAAGTACAAATTAAATTAAACCCAAAAAAAGCAGGCACAAGACATGAGTGAGTTTCTAAGTGCCCCCTCCCTGCTGTTGAGCACAAACTCGAGGTTCAAAGTTTCACGTTTCACTCCTGTCCAATATGGAAGCCCAGGATTACCCCCAGACAACCAGGCAAATAAGTACACCGAGCAGAGCAGAGCACTCACCTTTACACGTGACCACATATAAGACAACGCCTGTGATGATGTCGTGTGCTGTGATAAGCTCGGCTCCCAGCCAACAGGTACCTTCAGGATCTGAACCGTCACATCTCACCCAAAGAGGAGGAAGGGCAAGCACTGGCTGCTCAATCTTCAAATGGGTCATATTAGGGTTGTGAGCCATGGTATAAAGCCCAATCAACTGCCTTGAAAACAAGGAGTGGCAAAACCAGTTATAAAACGGCAACACACATTCTCTTGGAAGCTGAAGGTGTGACTCAGTGGTAAAGCACACGCTTGGTTGGCATGTGTGAGACGCAAGTTCCATCCCTGGCAACATCCACCCTCTCTCTGTCTTTCCCTTTTAATTAAAAAAATAATAATGTGAAGGGTCTCACAGGAACAACAATCTGGAAGTGAAGACACTAAATGCATGAATACATCTGTGTTTATATATTTCAGCAAGAGAAGAATAAGGTATACTATATATTCTAATAGTTACAAGTCTACAGGGATGGTTTAGCAGTTAAGAACACGTATTGTTCTTGCAGAAGACCAGAGTTCAGTTTCCAGTGTCCACACTGGGTGGCTGAGAACTGCCTGTAACTCCAGTGCCAGGGGTATCCAATACTTCTGGCATCCACAGAGGCCTGACATGCACACACCATGTCCACCCCCTCCTTTCTCTATACTGCTTTGCATATATAAATCTATAATCATTGAAAGAGAAAATGACAACGCAAACATCAAAATATAAATAACTGGTTTTTAAGGTATACAGAAGTTACCACCCCCCCATATATATTTGATTGATATATATATATCAATCAAAATTAACTATCAACTAATATCAATGAAAACAATGCAGCCTAAATTTCTACTTTTTCAAGAGATAGAAACAATTTACTATCAGGAATTTCTAAGGCATTCAACTTCAAAAAGTAAATACAAAAATCTTACGGTGGTATGAAAGGCATGAAGAAATAGAAAATCAAGAAATGCTAGAGGCTAGGGAGACTGCTCAGTTACAAAGTCCTTGCCTTGCAAGCATAAGGACCTGAGTTCCATCTCCAGAACTCATGTGAGACACACATACTGGGGGGAGGTGGCACACACCCTTGATCCCAGCACTCAGGAGGCAAAGACAGGTGGATCTCTGAGTTTGAGGCCAGCATTGTCTACAAAGTGAGTTCTAGGATAGCCAGGGCTACACAGAGAAACCTTGTTTAAAAACAAAAACCTCGCCGGGCGGTGGTGGCACATGCCTTTAATCCCAGCACTTGGGAGGCAGAGGCAGGTGGATTTCTGAGTTCGAGACTAGACTGGTTTACAGAGTAAGTTCCAGGACAGCCCGGGCTACACAGAGAAACCCTGTCTCGAAAAACAAAAAAACAAAAACAAACAAAACAAAAAAAACTCCACACACCTACATCCTTAGCCCCAGCAGTGTTTCAACTCAAACCCTATTCTCTATCCCTAACTCTACATTTACAAAAACAAATCAGACAAAAACAACTTACCTTGCTCTCCCAACTGGTAAGGCCAGTGGCCTAATATTTTCACCAGTAGAGAGATCAGAAATAGCAGTTTCTTCAGACTGTGGTTCTTCAACATGACTTGTTTCTTCCTTTTCCAAAACCTTTAAAAAAGGTTTTAGATTATTAAACCAGATGTAAGGGTCAATTCTCTTTAGTGTTAGAAAGTAACTACACAAGAGGCTGGAGAGATGGCTCAGCAGGTAAGATCATGGCACCAGAGTTACAGACATAGTGAGCTGCTATGCAGGTGCTGCAAACCAAACCAGGTCCTTTGCAAGAGAAGCAGATGCTCTTAACCACTGACCCATCTTTCAGCCCTCAAAGATCCTGACTGTCGTTGCTTCCTGTAAAGGAAGCGTCTGACGATGGAAGACAAGTGCTCTAACAGGCCCAGTATGATAAGCTACGGGTAAAGACCGCAGGAGACCCATGGGGGATGCCCAGACACTTAAGTACCTTTCATTTCCCAAATGGAACAACCTGTCTCTGGGATATGAGCTTACAGTACTCAGCCCTCAATTTTTCCTTTCATTTATTTATTCATTCAGAAACAAGGTCCTTATGCTGGGATCACAGGCATGCCGTACTACACTCAGCCATAGAACCCTTCTACCCCTTTATTCATTTATTTATTTTTGTCAAGACAGGGTTTCTCTGTGTAGCCCTGGCTGTCCTGGAACTCACTCTGTAGACCAGGCTGGCCTGGAACTCTGGCCTCCCAAGTGCTGGGATTAAAGGCGTGTACTACCACACCTGGCTTTGTTCTTTTTCTTAATGGATCTATTATAACAGTTTGTTTTACGTATATATCTATGGTTGGCATTATATTTCAGTAGAAAGCACTGTGCTTACTCCTAAAAGAATGTGTACACTTTCATTAATAGGAAAACATGTAGTACAAGATTATTCCAAAAAACCCAAATGTGGCTACAAAGAATTAATCACAAAGCCCAACACTTACCACTTTTTCCACAAGAAACACTAAGTCATTTTCACTTAGAATAGTTTTCAGAAGACTTGGTTGGCCTTTGCTGATCAACTGCACTTGCACATCAGCCTGTAAAAAACAGATTGCAGTGTTTCTACATTTAATTCAACTACTATAGACCAGGTACATGCAAATTACTAAAAAAGGAATTTGAACTACGCAAAATGCTTAAAAAGGGTTCACTTACTTTGCCATGACGTTTCTCATGCTTAGAAAACTGACCAACAGGGCTGGAGAGATGGCTCAGCGTTAAGAACACTAACTGCTCTTCTAGAGGTCCTGAGTTCAATTCCCAGAAATCATATGGTGGCTCACAACCTTCTGTAATGGGATCTGATGCCCTCTTCTGGTGTTTGAGGACAGCTACAGTGTACTTATATACATAACATAAATAATAAAAAAGGGGGAAAAAAAGAAAACCTGACTAATAACTGGACTAGGGAAGTGGCTCTGTTGGCAGAGCCTGTTGTTTAAGTCCAGCCATGTAAAGCTGAGCATCAGGGCATAGATCTGTAACCCCAACCCTGGAGAAGCAGAGACTGGAGACCTCTGGGGCTCGCCGGCCAGTCAGTACAGCAACTACGAAGTTCTAGACTGAGTAGGAGACCTTGTCACACAACAACTAAGGTGGACGGCAACTGAGCTAGTGACCCCTGGCCTCCACGTGTACCCATAGGTACATGTGCATGTGCGTGCACATACTCAAGAAAATCTAGCTTATACCTGCCCTCTATACACATGGCAAAGTCCGCCTGAAAACTGTAAAGCCCCTTTTGCTTATGCCTTCGCTGACATCTTCTAACCACAGTATAATGTAGGATAGAAACAGCAACTTACTAAGTATTATCCTTTTCTTCTACTGGACTATAAAACTGTACAAATTTAGTTCATAAGAAGTATCTCCTTGTTTCCAATGTACTATACATACATTGTACAAAAACACAAAAACAGCTTTTTACTTTTCTTTTAAAAAATTTATTATGTATGTGTATGACTGTGTATATATCCTGGGCACACATGTGGAGGTTTATGTGTGTGTGTGACTGTGCATATGTCCTGGGCACACATGTGGAGGTTTATGTGTGTGACTGTGTATATGTCCTGGGTGCACATGTGAAGGTTTATG